CACAGAGTAAGGCGAGAGAATAACAGCACAAAGCAGTAACATTGATCATCTTGTCATTTTGGAATTTTCGGAAGCCTAATTTGCATCTGAAAATAAGATTAGATTAATGGCACAAACCTTATCACCTTATTTGGTTAGCTCATTTTTGTAAAATTGCCTGTTTGACTTAAATACCTAAAATCCTAGATGGGATTGTGAAATTTCAGCCAAGTTTTAGTGGTTGACAGGTTCGCTCCGATAAAACTATATATCCAGAAATAATTCCACATACAGAATATTTGTTTTAATAATTTGGTAATATAATATGTGATAAAAAATATATATATATTTGAGTAATTTTCGTAGATATTTGTGTAGAAATAATAGCGCTGCACTTACTTGGGTCATAAGCAATACAACTGCTAAGGTTGAATTAGATCAAATTAAGGGTTTAGATGAACAACTGTCAATTCAATTTCCATTCAATTTAATTTATATGGCACCAAAAGGCTGCCTCAAGGTGCTTTATGTTGTAAGGTAAAGACCCTACATTAACACAAAAAAAACCAGAGAAAAACTTAACAGTCATATTACCCACTGTGAGCAAGCACTTTGGCGAAAGCGGGAAGGAAAAAGTCCCTTTTAACAGGAAGAAACCTCCAGCACAACTAGGCCCAGGGAGGGGCCTGAGACAGTTGTAAATAGTGGCAGTAGCTGCAGAAAAAGTAGTGGCACAAGAAAACGCAGTCTGAAACTTAAGCGTAGTGATGTAGGTCTTAACACAAGCACTTCACCCAGTATTGAGTTCAAGCAGAGGCACCGAGAGCAACTTTTGACTGAAGCTGGATGAAGGAGAGCTGCAGTGTCCAAAGAGGGAGAGATAAAAGCATGGATGGACTTCCTCCAGACTGCCAACGGATAAAAATGACCTAATTTTTTGATGGTAAAAATTCTCAGTAGGGGGAAAGAAAAAAAAAAAAGCAAAACCGAGCAACTATTTTTGACCAACGCTAAAACAGCCCAAAACAGAAATAAACATAAGTCGCTCTGACGTGTCGGAGCAGTGGTTGGTGCTCTGCTGGTTTCCGTCCCAGTGGTATTTCAGTCACTGATTCGATGGCTGCGCTGAAACGCAGCGGGTGCTCTGTGTCTGGAGGACTTAGAAACAAAAAATAAAATGAAAAATATTCTAACACAGTCACAGTTCATCAGCATCCACGTGCCATGATTATGTCCACGTTGGTTCCATTTTTGTTTGGTATACAGAAATATAAGATCATGAACACAGTTAATTTATCTTAAACACCAGCAAGTATTCCTATTTTGTCAATGTTTTTCCATCTATCCTCAGGTTACTGAATCAGTGCAGATAAATACTGGAATTGTTACATGTGATAAATTGCACTATGGTAAAGGCTTTTTATTCACATTCAACAAATGATTATCTAGTTCAGGGTCCAGGGTGTGCTGGAGCCTAACCAAGCTGACAGGCAGGCTCCAGCTTGAACAGGTCGCCAGTCTGTTGCAGGGCTAAAACACATTTGACACTTAAAGTATTCTGAGTGGGTCTAACTTTAAATAGATTAGAGCAGCGGTTCCCAAACTTTTCTTTTGCGAGGCCCCCCTTTGTTTTACAAGAAAAATGTTTGCGCTTCCCCGCATGAACACATCCTCCAACCACACACACCCATATTTTGCTCCATTGCGGTTTATTTCAAACATTTAGTAAACAATTAAGCAAATACAAGTAATCAGCAATAAATTAGAGGTAGCAATAAAATAAATTAGGCCTACTAACTAATTTGCGCTACTTCTATAACTACACGGGTATTTTTGAAAACGCAGCTGTTTCGTCCACACGTAAACGGCATTTGGACTCACTGAAAACTGAGATTTTTTAAAACTCCTTTTTTGCGTTTACCCGTGGACGAGGAGTACAGAGTTCGTCACGCAACGTCAAAGGTATGTGCCTTTTTTCAC